CGGGGCTGCCAAGGACCTCCCGTCGGTGCTGGACGCGCATCCCTGCTCTGGGGTGGCGGGATGGGGATGGGAGCGCTGCCCCCCGAGGGCTTCGCGGGTGCCAGCTGGGCATGTGGCTTCCCGTGTCCTCAATACAGGTGTTAACAGCATCTCTGGGCAGCCCGCGTCCTTTGCTCAGCTCCCTGGGACCGCACGTGAAGGCCGGACCATTTGGTGAACGTGCGCGGTGATGCTTGGTAGTGCAGCCCTATGTATGCTGCTCGTTGGCTCCTTTTTGGAGGACGGTAGCTCTGGATGGGATGGAGAATTGGGTGGGAACGAGCAGCACCTGGGAGTTGTTGCTGTCCTGTTCCTCCTGCCCAGGTTGCTGCCCTGAACTGTTAGTGGGGACAGTAGGAATGCAGCCTTTCTCTTCAGCTTGTTACTGCTGTGTATTTGCGTGAGCAAGGGGTGTTCTCCTGCCATAAGCTCTTCTGAAGAGCAAATTTAACTTGCCCTCTGTGACAAAGACTCTCAGAACACCCTGGAACGCGGAAAATGGACTTTGAGTGTTGGAGCAAGCTCTCAAGGCAAGAGCACTCCAGCAAGGCACGTCCTTGAGAACTGGCTATGGGGCAAGGCAAAGCAAGCAGTAGAAAGGGGAGTTAAGCAGCCTTTGGCATTGTTCCTTGCCCTGCAAGAAATCCTACGATGTCCTTTCAGCCTGACCTACGCGAAACAGAAGATCTCTTTAGCGTGGGGTTGTGGATCGCTGCTTGCCAGCAGCTGGTACAAAACGCTCACGAGTGGATGGAGCTGCACGTCTACCCTTGTGAGAGTGCAGATTTCATTTTAGAATAACAGTTCTCACACTTGGAGTTGTGAAGATAACTTCAGTGCCAGCGGCCTTTGGTGCTCGGGTCCGGCTGAGGCATTCCAGATTGAACAGGAGCAGCTGGATTTGCTCCGGTGCTCCACAGAGCTAAGAGAGATGCAAGGAAAATGGTATCTGTGTTTTGCTGTTTTTGAACATGGTGACTAGTTGCAGTGAGAGCTACTGGAGCTCTGCAGGGGAGAGAGCAGGGATCAATCAAGTTGGGCAGCAGAAAGGAGGGTTGCAGCACGATGCAGTAAGGCAGCGCCGTGCCATGGGGACTAGACATCCCTCGGGAGCACCACTGCTGCATTCGTGTTTCTGCCAAATTGGGAGACGGAGTCCCGGGGCAAGCAACTCCAGTTATATATTGTTGTGTAAAATGAAGTCTGGATGCTGGATTTGCAGATAGATGCAAGTGAAGCAAAGCAGCTTCCTTGCAAGATATATCACTGGAAGCAGATTGTCTTATGGAGCCTATGCAGGCGGAAAACATCCTGGATCAGGATGGGATTTCAGGTGGGAGCCCTGTCCCTGCGGCCACGGGGAGCGAGGGAGCAGCCTGGCTGGGAGCAGAGCCCGACCTCTCTGCCTAGGCCTCCTGTCCGGCACCTTCTCGGCAAAGGGGATTTCTTGAAGCGCTCTGGAAGGCTTTGCTTTTGTGCCCTGGAAAGTAGAAAGACGTTTGCAAACTTTGTCCAAATCGAAGATCGGGTTTGCAGCCAGGCTGGGCTGAGCAGTGTCCATGGACGGTGGGTGCTCTTGCCTGGGCCATGGTCCCAATGCTGCAGTGCTATGGGAGCCACGTTCCCTCCATCGACCCCCTCGTTCCTGAAGGTTCCTCTTTTCCCTGATCTTTCCCAACATATTTGTGACTTCTGCTCTGTTTGGACTTGGCTCTTGCCTTTCCTGTATGCTCTCTGCAGCCAGCCTTGATCTGGGCTGAGAAGAAAAGATGCTCCAGGCAAAGCTTTGCGTTTGGATATGACTCTTTCACTTTGGAGATGTGGATGCAGGGGTCACATGAGGTCTACATTAGTGCCTTTTTTCCATTCCCATCCCAGTGACTTGCAGTGCTTCTTGCTAAAACCGGCTTTGCATTTTAACCCTGTAAATGCAGCCAGCTTGGCAGCCCTGGAATATTTTTTCCTTGACTGGCCTCTGTGGAGGAAAAGGGGTCTGTGACATTTTACTGCTTTACAGTAAAACGAACAAAAACTTGGGAAAAAAAGCCCACGGCGTCTCTGGCTTTTGCTTTCCTTCTGAAGAGGAGGGATAGCGGGGGACCGGCTGAAGGGAAAACGATCCTGTCAGCATGCGGAGATTCACGTTCGCCCCGTGCATTCCCGGCAGGGAGGAGGCTTCCTGGGAATGGCGCTCCTCGGCGTAAGGAAAATCCCACCCTGCGCAAGGGCCGAGCGGAGCCGTCCACGGCGGTGGGATGGGGGAGCACAGGGACAGCGGAGCTGCCAGCAGGGATCTCCAGCTCCGTCGGGACCTCCCTCCCGGGCTCCTCTTTGGGGCTTCCTTGACATTCCAAAGCAGTGATGTGTGCGGGGAGGGAGGAAGGCTTTTCTTCCTCCTCGCTAGGACTTAATCCAAGTCTAGCAGAAACAAAGGGCTTCCTTAACAAGCTCCCTTTACTGCTCTTGTCCCTTCCTGGTGGCAGCTTCTCCTTTTGCACCGCTCCTTGCTGCCTTCATCATTACACGTCTCCAGGAAAGGCCCCGTGACTGTGTCCAAGCAGCCCCGAGGTGCCAGCCCGCCTGCTTTGACCTGTGAGCGTGTGGGTCCCTGTGCAGCAAGAACCAGCACCCGTAGGTGGTGACACCTGAGCCACAACGCAGCTATTTAAATACGGAACCATTTAGAGCGCTGCCCTGGGGTCTCCCCTGCCCACTCGCTTTGTCATTCTCTCCTTTTGCTGAGTTGTCATAAAAAGGTACTGCCCAAAAGCCACCGTGTCCCTCGTGCACCTGCCCACGGGCAGCTGAAACCTGCAACTGCAACCTGCAAACAGCGGGCAACTGCAGCATCCCGCAGCCTCTGCTCGAGGGTTTTCTGTGTGTGTCCCCAGAGAGCATCCTGTGACTGCAGGGGAGTCGCTAGGAGGAGCCCGGTGGCTTAAGGGAGAAAATAAAGAAGAAAAAAGAATATAAAGAAAACAACAACGAGCTGGAAGGAGCAGGCGGACACCGGAGCGCGGAGGAGCCGCCGGGCTGGTTGCGTCCGCACGGCCTCGCGGCGCCAAGGCCGCGCTCCTGGCAGCGCCGTGACGAGCGCTGCTGCGGCTGGGTTAATTAGCGCCGGCTCTGAGCTCATTAGCGCCTGGCACGGAGCCCTGGCGCTGCCCCTGCCCAGGCTGGTGGCCCCGGCTGGCCCCGTCGCGGCACCGTCTGCGCTACCCGTGTGTGTCTGTGTGTGTGAGCACCTGGCACTGTGAAATACCGAGAGGTTGGCTTAGAAATCGCTGATTCACTAAAAGAAAAGTGTTTTCTGGTAGTGCTTGGTTGGTTGCCTTTTTTTTTTTTTTTTTTTTTTTTGAGCCTGTGCTTTCTGTGCATTTATAATAGTTGTTAGAAAATTACCTCTCTTCTTCTCTCTCATCTCCTAGTTGCTTTTGATTAATTTTTTCATTGCAAATCTTGATTTTTTTCCAAAGCCAGGGCTTTTAAGAGAAAAAGAGCGCACAGATGCAGAGCTGGAAGGGACCTTGCAGCGCCCTGCTCTCTGTTCCTGTCCCAAGTGTGGCGGCTCTGTCCTAGCAGTCCCCTACACAAACGGAGCTGCTCTTCAACCCTAGCACTGCCTCGCTCAGCAAACGCTCGCCGGGTCCAGCTGCCTCCGCTGCTGGGCTCACGTAATTGCGGAAATCCTCCCTCGCTGCCGTATCTCGTTTGCTGGTTATTTCATGTCTTATCTGTCCCTGTGTCGGCTGGGGGTAGTTCAGTTCCTCCTCGCAGCTGCTGTTGACGTATCTGGAAACTGCTCCCGTGTCCCCATCTCTAACATCTCAGTGAACCTTCCTGTTGCTTTGCGGTGGCCCTTGGGTAGGGAGGTCTGTGATTCAAACCTTGGGAATTGAGGCTACCGCAGGCCAGAGGCTTTTGGTGGCTCCGTCCAGCTGAAGAAGCACCCGGCTTTGAGCAGCGAGCCCTGCACACAGGTATCGGGGTGAGGGCCCCGCGCTCGGGCTGAGCTGTCCCGCGCTGCCGTCACGCGGTGGCCGCCTCGCTCGCGCAGGGACCAGCCGGCAGCGCAGAAACCGCCGCTGCTTCTGCAGCTTCCTGTCAGCTGCTTACGTGCTCCAGAAAGAGCCTTTCTGAGCCCACCTTGGGCTGCAGATGGGAAGATGCAGCAGCTCTCACTGGTTTAACCGCCTTTGTCACCTCACCTGAGGTTTCTGTCTCCCCGTGGCTGCTTCTCCAGCGCAGATGATGGTGCGAGAGGTCTCTGTGCAGGGATGGGGTTGGGCAGCATCCAAAGAGCCGCAGGAAGGCGAGAGCTGATGCAGGACGGGGATGGGTGGGCTCGAGCCTGTGGGCAGCGCAACAGAGGGGCTGCTCCCAGGACGAGGACGTGTCCCCCCTGAGGGCACGTGCAATTACCTTGCAATTCCCTGCCGGGGAGGGCAGCGTTAATTGCCTCTCCTGCCAGGTGGCAGTTGTCATCTGGAAAGTCCCCGGTTCTCCCTGGCAGGCAGGTTTTGCAAACAGGTCTCGGGGATCAGCCCCGTGTCCTTGGCTGGGCCGAGGCGCTCGCGATGGGAGCGCTGGCGTGAGGTCGAGGCGGGTTTTGGGAATGAGCGTCCCCCCTTTCGCAGTGACCCTGCTCAGCCCCGTCCCGAGTGCCGGGAAAGCACCTGGGGAAGCACCCGCGGGAGCTTCGGCCCTGCTTTCCGACCGCGCTCCCTGCCGCTGGCATCGCAGGGAGAGCCGCGTCGTGCCCCAGCTGCAGCCGCCCAGTGTCCGTTCTCACTTTGGGGCTTGTTTGGGGTATTTGGTAAGTCAGGCTGGAATTTGCAGCAGCTGCTTTATGAGCCCCAGGGGAAGGCGCAGCAAACCTGCTCGGCTCTCCGCAGGTGAGACCTCAGCCGGAGGGAGGTCTTGGAGACCCACAAATGCAAGGAATTAATGGAAACACCTATTCTGCACCATGCAGGGTCTTTCCTTCCTGGCTGCTGGTGGGCTCATCCCATGGACCTGCTGGCAGAGCTGCTCCCTTGCTTTCCTGGACTGTGCAGGGAGCTCCTGGTGGGGCTTCCTTGGCCTGAGCCAGTGCAAGGAGCTCCTGGATCCGTCTGTCTCCCTGCCCAGCCTTTCTGTTCCCTGCGCTCTGTGGGGTCCTTTTCTCACTTAAAAGCCAACGTATCTTTGTCTTGCAGCACTCAAGAACAGGGTGAAAGGATTTGGTTTATTTTGAGTTTATCTGTCTGCTTTTTTTTTTTTTTTCTCTCTCTCTGGTGACAAATATTTGCGAAAATACTTTCTTGATAGAGGAGCTTCTTGGTAAGGTTTGGGCAGCTTGGGTGCATGGGTTTCATTTGGTGGTTGTTTGCCCTGACATATGGCAAGAAATTATAAAACAGGGAAGTAGAGTTCTTTCGATCACTTTCAGCTTTAAAGGGGGCGGGGGAAAAAAAAAAAAGCCTCCAGAGGAAAATAAAAGCCTGGACATCCCAGATCAGTTTTGCAGAACCTCCTGACTATAACTCCCAAAACTTAGAAGGATCCAGTTGCCTTTTGATTGCCCGGCTGCGTGCGGGAAGGCCCCGTGGTTCATGGGGAGAGCAGAAGGGTCTGAGCCAAGCGCGTGGTTGCCCATAGTGAGGTGTCCTGGCCCGCTCGCCCTGTGGCTGCTGCTGGGGCTTCCAGGGCTGCTCTGTGCCCGTGGAGGTTGAGGCTTTTGCAGCCGTGGAAGGAGCCTCTCCTGTAACAGCCCTGCACAAGTGGTTGTGCCCCAAAGATGTCTCGTGCCCGGTAGAACCGTCCCCAGCGATGGTGGATGGATATGCGGTAACGGAGGTGGAACGTGCTGGGTCTCGTCCCTGCGGGATGCAGGAGCCGCGCTGGGACGGCTCCTTTTGGGGAATTCCTGTGCCTCGTGGGGGCAGTAGTCATCCCTGACGGGGCTTGTCGGTGATGCGGCCTCGCGTGACGTTTCTCATGGGTGTGAGTCACTCCGGCACGTTCACCCGACGGGAGGCAGGCGTGAGCGGAGGCCGGAGAGGGAAGAGCCTTCACCCGAGGCAGCGAACAGTATCTGCTGCCTCTGTTGCATCTGCTGCATCTGCTGCATCAGCTGCATCTGCTGCATCTGCAGGAGCCTGGGCCCTGTGACGCTCCTGCGCAGCTGGACCGAGGGGACCGCGCCGTGGGCCAGGACCAGCCAAGGTGACTCTGTGCTTTGTTGCCTTGCAGGGATGTCTGGTTGGGAGGCAGGCGATTGAGCAGCCCACATGGAAGGCAGAGGACCCTATCGCATCTATGATCCCGGTGGGGGGATGGAGGAGAAAGGATCTGTGACTTTTGAGCAGTTGGTGGAGGAGAACACCCGGCTGAAGGAGAAGATGCAGGGGATAAAGTCTATAGGTAATGGCTGCATGGGTGGAGGATGGGGTTTGCCTTCTGTGGGGAGCCTGCCCTTCCTCTGACAGCCTCCATCCAGCAGGCCAGCCTGCGTTCAAGGAGCACAACTGCTTGTCCTGCCCTGTTTGCTCGGGAGGGTGTTAAGAAGCCGGGAATCTTAATAAAAAGGCAATAGCAAAGCTCTCACCCTCTTCATAGCTCAAGCAGCGTTTCTGGGCTTTGTCATGGTAGGGGGGAATTGCTTGAATATCTGTGGGTGAGCTGAGGGCTTTTGCTAAATTCCTGGGGTGCGTTGCACCCTGACGAATGGCTGAAGAAGAGGGGAGCCGTGGAGCAGTGTGGGCTCCCCTGCTGTCCCTGGTGGCAGCAGGGCTGGGACGCCCCAGCTGAGCAGTGCCACCCTCCTCCGCCCGCCCCTGTTTTTGCTTTTGGTCTCGTGACCCAGTTTCCGGTTTCGAGTCCTACTTCTGCAACTGAATTTCCACTTGTCTTGTGATTCCTGTTGTGGTGCCATGGCCCTACCTGTGGTTGAAACTCCCTCGCCTGGGATAGACACGTGGGCTGGGGAGAGGGTTGGATCACGGTGCTGAATCCCACAGCTTAAGGGCTGGACCCCTGCAGTGATCCCAGCTTCAAACTGGCTCTCCTGGAGAGAGGAGAAGACCTGAGGGATGCAGCGCTGCAGCTCTGTCACCTGTAACCTGCCTTCCTTGTGTTGGTGGCACTCTGCAGCCACAGGTGTAGCTCACCTGTGAGATTTGATCAGGAAGAAGTATTTTTAGATGAAAAAGGAAAAACAAAACAAAGCAAAATTGTTCTGGGCCCTCTTGTCCCCAAGCAGAGGTATTGGTACAGATGTGGCTGCCCCAGGGTAGGTGCTGGGAAGGGAGGGTGAGCGCAGGTGAATGTGAACATCTTTTTGTTGCCCACAACAGGAGAGCTACTGGAAGAGTCCCAAGCGGAGGCATCCAAGCTGCGGCAGAAGGTGGAGGACCTTGTGAGACACAAAGAAATGCTGATGGCGTCATCTTCCTTGGACAAACTGGTGGAAATGGGAGGTAGGAGATGGGAGGAATGCCAAGGCCTCCTGGACAGCTCGGCCCTGGGTTCAGGGGAAGGGAGAAGGTGCAGCACAAGGTCTGCAAGGAGATGCCTGAGAGGCTCTTTTCAGGGTTGCTCACCTCTCTTAAAACAGCCAGACTTGGCTTCCTTTGCATCTCCTGCATCAACTTTGCTCTCTCACTTTCTTTGCCCATGCACAAGTCTCCTGCATTGCCAGAAATGCACATAAGAGCTAGACTGACTGAATTCCTGCATGTGGGACATGTTCCTTGGAAAGTGAGGAGGCCGTGAGCAGCTTGGGATGTGACAGATGCCCTTCCATGTAGCTGCTGACGGTCTGGGATTCCCTATAGCCTCTGGAGCAGCTGTGAAGGTGTCTGTGCTCTCCTGGCTGTGTGTCCCCGTGCTCTCCTGTCCTGGGAAAGACCAAACCCAGCTTTACAGGCAGGACATGGTTCCTAAGCCACCAGCTCATGGCTGGTGGAAACAGGAAGGCAAAGTCACGCGGGTGTAATGGGAAGAAGAGATCATCCTTCCACAATGAAGAGTTTCCTTGCATCTTGCCCAGCTTCTTAGCAGTGAGCTCAGTCTCACAGGGTGATGACCTGGGGCAGTGGTTATCTTTAGCAAGGACAGCAGAGCTGGCCCCAAGTTGAGCGCTTTGCTCTGTCAGTGTTGGGTGTCTGGGTGTTTCAAGGCAGTCTGCAGTCTTCTGTGCTCGCAGGGACATGTTTAATAAACGTGAGCTCAGTCAGAATGGCCGGGGAGCTGCTGGGAGCCCTGGCGTAGGCAGAGCTCCTGCACCTGAACCTGTTCCTCAGTGTTTATTTGAGGCTATCTAAGGCAATGCAGTTTTGAAGGGTGGTTTGAAGTGGCAGTGCTGCCATGGGTTTAACTTGCTGGGGGGCAAGGCCCAGCCATGGCACCAGCTCCCAGTGTCCGTTGGCTCCGGTGGAGAGGGACAAGGTTCAGCCCCATGTGCTGCTCTTTGTCCCCGCTTTGCTCTGGACATGCTGGCCTGCAGCTGCTTACATCAAGAAGGATCCACGTGCACTGTGTGCCCAGTGGAGTGTTTGGTTTTCCCCATGCTAAGCTTAGACAGGGCAGGCACAAGCCACCAGCTACAGCCAGTGAAAGGTGCTGCTGCCCCTGTCACACGCGGTCACATCGGCCGTGCCCTCCCTCCTCCTGGAGGGAAGCAAGCTGGGACGTTTCTGTCCCATCAGCGTAGCTGGAGAAGAAACCGTGGGTGTGTGTCTGACCTCGGGCCTGGTCTCCGCATCGCTGTGCGGGAGGGGAGGGGACCTGCTCTCCAAAACGCTCACGGCTGCGTGTTCTCCCTTCCACAGCCGGCGGCCCCGATCCCAGCGCCGTCCTGGCCGCCCCGGGCAGTGCCCAGAAGCAGCTGAATGCAGAAGTGCGGAAGGCTCCTCTGAGTGTAAGTCTGGTGAAAAGCAAGTGCTTGCCCCAGGGGACTTGGAGGGAGAGACAGGCTGGCTGCTTAAGAGCAAGGGAGATGATCTCTAGGAACGGGAACAAATCGGCAGGGATCGGCTTCCCCTGCTGTTTGCCTCCTGGGCTCCCAGGACAGCAGGAGCCGATACTGCTGCAGAGCTGGGGACCAAGGGCAGGACCTGCTGCAGTTATTGAGAGCCCCGGGCTCTCCTGAGCTGCCCGTGCTGAGATGCTCAAAGCCGTGTTCACTTACAGGAGTGCAGAGGGATGAGGGAGCTTGGGGCTAGGCCACGCTCCCGTCCTGGCCGTCCCTGAGGGGAACAGCAGGGCTGCCTTTCCCTTGCTGCGGGGAACCTGACCTTGTGCCTCCTGTTGCAGAGGTCCTCGTCGGAGTTTGAGATTGTTTCTGCTGAAGCGCAGGGCTTTTTGCAGGAGAGCGGGAGAACGGTGAGTGGCCCTGGTGCCTTGGGGAAGCTCGGTTGGGATGCGGGAGGGGAATGGGCCTGGGAGGCGTGAGAGCGCGTGCCCGGGAGGGAAGGAGCCGAGTCCTGCTCCGGGAGCAGCGCTCCTCATGCTGTGAACGTGGTCCCGTTTTGTTCAGCACCTCTGCCAAGCCGACTGGCACGGGGCTTGGAGAAGCTCCTCCTAGTGCCCGCACCGGGAAGGGAAGGAGCAGCAGAGGCAGAGATGGCTGGTTTTGCTGCAGGCAGCAGAAAGGGCTGGCAGCCCCTTTCCTCCGAACAAACTGCCTCTAGGTGTTTGCAGAGCAGTGCTCGGATGCCCGTGTCCCAATTTCGGGGTGGGATGGGGAGCCTGGCGTTACTCTCTCTGCCTCCATCGTTGCTACCAGGGTCTGCCGCAGCCCGGGCCTGTTTGAGCTCTGCTTGTTCTTGTGAACATCCTCCCAGCTGGGATACCATGTCCTGGCCCCTCCGTGGGTCCCAGTTGGCTTCAGGCTCTTGTGTGTGCTGCAAGGGATGTGGGCAGGGAGAGGGGAGTCCAGCCCCTGCCTTAGCTGCTCCAGTGCTCGAGTGGGACGAAAATCAACATGTGCTGCCCCATGGCAGTGCGTGGAGGGGGAGGGGAAGCTCTGTCCTTGCGCATCCCCGCTGGCCTTCGGCACTGCTGTCATCTCTGAAGAACGAGGCAGCATCACGGTTGGTACTGGGCTGTGTTGGATCCGCAGGAAGGGGCCTTGGGATGCGGTAGGGAGCGGGCGGGCGGCTCAGCACCGTGCGCAGCTCCTGCACCAGCACCTGCTCAGCTCTCCTGGCCGCTCCAACTGGGCTCAGGAACGAGCTGTCTGATGCTGCTGGAAGGAGCCCTGTGCCGTGTGCCGCCAGCCCATGGATCCACCCACGGGATTCCCTGGGGCAGTACCGGGGCGGTAAACCCCAGGGCGAGGGCGCCGGGGATGCCCTCGGGCTCTCGCCCTGCAGGAGTTTCCGAGGCCGTGGGGTGAGTCAGTGGGGCAGGGAGCGGAGCGGGGCCTGCCGTGTTGTGCACACACACGCTGCAGGTCGCCGCGCTTCAAATCCGGCACAGTTCTGCTCTGCCGTGCCGGGGAGCCCGGGCTGCCCGCCGTGCCGCGATGCCGGGAGCGGGGAGCAAGGAGGACAACCGGGCTGGGGTAAGGCCTGGGGCCGAGGTCAGAGGGAAGCCGAGACCTTGGCAGAGCCGAAGGAGAGAGGTGGGAGTGTGGGGAGCAGCCCAGAGCTGCTTGGAGGAGGCTGGAGGCACTTGGGGTTGCAGGTCTTGGCCCTGGGGAAGTGACACGTCCCTCCTGCTGGGATAGGAGAACCAGCATGTCCCAGTGCCCCCATCAAGGAGTCTCTACGTGTCTGTGTTGGTGGCTTAGCAAGCCCAGGCTGGACCCTGCGGGATCTGGCATCTCCTGCTTTAAGCGTGGGGCCTCAGGGCTGCCAGGAATGGGGCAGCTGAGCGGGTCCCCTGCCCTCCTGGTGCCCTCAGGGTAGCTGCAGGTGGCCTCGGCAGCTCCAACATTGGGGAGGTTTGGGGAGGTGTGGGGGGCAGCAGCTGGAGGAGCCGAGCCCGGAGCTGGCTGCTCATATGGGATGAGAAATACAGGGACCCTCTCCTGGAGGGACAAGGAACTTGCGGACAAACCTTGGCTCCCAGAACAAGGAGGGTTCGGGAGGGCCACGGTGACCCCAGCTGTGGGGAAAGGACAGTCTCGAGACACAGGATGGTTTCTGTCTGATCTGGTATTGCTGGTCACGGTGCTGACTGCTCCAGAGGGGTGGCTTAGGGCCCTGGTTTGGGGAGCTGAGGAAAGAGAAGGGAGTAAGGGATGGAGATTGTTCCTTTACTATTAATGAGTCAGAAACTGGGTCTGCTCAGGTTTCTAAGGGGGAATGAGGTATGGATGGACTTGGGGAGGCTATTTTGGTAATGCCTCCTACCTAGACACTTGGGGTATCCGGGTCCAATGGTTGTCAATGAAACCTTCATAAAGCAGATAAAGTTGTTTTTTTTTTTTTTTTTTTACCACACCTAGGGTTATTGCAGAGTCTTCATCCTCAGCAGTTGGAAATGTAGCAGATAGGAGAGCAGGAAAGCAGTGTGCTGCTGTAGAGGGTGTCAGAGCAGATGGCTGTGACCATCCCCTCCGTGTCGTGCCTCCTGCGCAGGGCAGATGGGTGGTGAAGAAGCAGGGCTGGGTCATTTAGATGGACTGGTGTTTCGAGAAGGTGTTTTGGGGTGCAGCAAGGGCAGGGGAGCCCGCGCAGCAGGTCCAGGATGCCGCTAGAGGGAGATGTGTGAGCGAGCTGCAAGGAGAAGGCTGAAGCCTGGCAGCAGGGCTCGCAGCAGCCTTGCCGCTCGGTGCCGGGGCAGCTCCTCGCCGCAAGGAGCCGATACCCGTCGCAAGAGGGAACTTTGCAACGCGCCTTGAGCCGCGCTGACTGCGCGTCCTCCCGTCCCCATCCGCAGGACTTGGAGCAGCTGCCGAACGAGGAGGGCAACCTGCTGCCCCAGCTGCAGCGCCTGGAGAGCACCCTGAGCGGCTGCGCCGACGAGGCCGGCAAGAACCAGGTGTTCGTGCGCCTGGGCCACATGGCCTCCGAGTTCAACCGCCTGGCCTCCAAGGTGCACAAGAACGAGCAGAGGACATCCTTCCTGCAGGTGAGCCGGGGATGGATGGGCTCTTTTTTCTACCAAGCCCTCCTTGTCCTTGTGCTGAGCTGCTCCTTCTTGCCCCTGCCTTCCGTGGACCCCTTCCCTGGGCCCTCTTGCTGCCGCCAACCAAGGAGCAAATTCCCAGGGATGGGCCCCATCCTGCATCCACATTCTTGATCCAGGAGACTTGGTAGGAACTGGGTGGCCAGGGGGTTATTGGGAGCACCAGCCTTATTAAAGGGGGGGCATTTGCCTGTGACAGTGCCCCAAGGAGTCTCATGCTGCTGTCATTTGCCCCACAGACCCTGTGCGAGCAGCTGCGCAATGAGAATGAGGAGCTGCGAGCCAAGCTGGAAAGAGACTTGGAGCAGAGAAACCAGGCTCTGGAGAAGCTCAGGTAAGGGCTGATAGGCAAGGAAACAGGGCTGTTCTGGGTGCCCCGGGTGTTTCTCCTTTCCTGACCCAGCCTGTCTCTGCTGTACAGGTGTGAGAACCAGGAGCTCCGGAGGATGGTGACGCTGAACAACAAGGAAAATGCAAAGAGGGAAGGTGCTGAACAGCAGCAGGTAATGGGACAGCCCCTCTGCCACCTCAGCAGCACTGTCCTTGGAGAGAGCTGGCAAGGAAGCAGGGAGTCTACAAATCATAGCAAATTGACTTTAAGCAGTTACTCTGTTTTCCAGTTTCTTCCAGTGTGACTGGTACCACTGTTGAGTAACTTGGCGGGGCACGGAAGGCAGTGGCAATGGCAGTTACTTATGTCTAGCTGGTGCCTGTGGCTGGCCTCTGCAGAAGCCCTGAGGGTTCCTGTGTGTGTGTCTTCCACAGAGCGGGGCTGTGATGGAAAAGGTGCTGGGCAGAGTAGGCCTGGAGGCCAAGGAGAAGAAGGTGAAGATCCTGGAGCACCAACGCAACGAGGTGAGGATGGATGCCAGGGCGAGCTGCTGTGCTGGCTGAGGGAGGCACCAGTATGGAGAGGGAGTGGGACTGATTGAGCTGTGGGGCACACGGCTGGGATTGCACTGGTTAGATGATGGTATTAGGGGCCAGAGGAAGGGCTGTGGAGCAGCAGGGAAGTTGCTTGGAGCGAGGATCTCCATCCAGCTCTTTCCCAAGGTGTTTTTGTGGAGGGTTTGTGTAGAGCAACGGGAGGTTGTTTAGGGCTAATGTAGGGCTATGCCTTACTTGGGGCTGGGCTCACGTTCACCCAGCCCTTCCTCCCCACAGCTGCTGGAGGTCAACAAGCAATGGGATCAGCACTTCCGATCCATGAAGCAGCAGTACGAGCAAAAGGTAAGGCCCAGTGCTCGGAGCTGTTTGATTCTGGTGTGCACATCTGGCCAGGTGTGGGGTGAGGAGACTCGGAAGAAACCGAGTGTCAGAGAAGGCGTTTGGGTTGGGCTCTGCTTGTTCTACCTCTACCCCATCTGCTCCCACCACTGGGGCCGGATGGACCAGTGTCGCCTTCCCTCCTGGCAGATAACTGATCTGCGCCAGAAGCTGGGTGAGACCCAGCGAGCGCTGACTGAGCTGGAGTCAGAGCGGGAGCAGAAGCAACGGGATTTTGACCGCAAGCTACTCCTGGCCAAATCCAGGATTGAAACAGAGGAGGTGAGTCCCTTGGGAAAGGAGCCAACAGCCCTGTCACCCTCCCCTGGCTGATTCCCCTTGTGGCTCTTCCAGGCAGAGAAGGACAGGCTGGCCACGGAGGTGAGGGACCTGCAGCAGAGGATGCGGTTCCTGCAGGAGCAGCTGGCTCCAGTCACCAAACAGAGAGAGTACCAGGAGAAAGAGATCCAGAGGCTGAACAAGGTGAGGCCTGTGTCACAGCCAGTCCTTGCAAAACGTCTTTTTTTGCTATTCAGCTGCTTCTGCTCTCTCAGCTCCCAGACTGACCCTGACCCCTGCCTGCTCTGCCCAGCTCTGAGCCCGGGAGGTACCAGTGCTGTGGAGCTTGGCTTTCCAGCCTCCTCAGATGCCCCCACCTGCGGCTCCTTGCCCAGGGGGCCTGGAAGGAGGTGCCTGCACTGCAGCAAAGAGCCTTCCCTGGACAGCATCTGCTGTGGCTTCTTTGGGACTGTGTCCATTGGTGTCTGCTGCTCCATGCTCACCCCATTTCTGGGAAGAGGCAACAGAAGGAGCTTGTGTGGGGCAGAGGAGACCGCATCCCTCTGCCCTCTGGCCTTTTATACCTTTTTTCCATGCTGCGCTTGCACTGTGGCCCTCCAGAGATGTCTGCTGCACAGTGCTTATCTCTGACTGCTCTCCCTGCTCCTCTCCTCCCTGCTCAGGCACTAGAGGAGGCCCTGAACGTCCAGGCCTCTCCACCACCCGCCTTTGCTGCGAAGCCGGTTGTGAAGATGCCGCGGCAGGAGCTGCTGACTCAGAACGAGCTCCTCAAGCAGCAGGTAGGAGCAGCCCCTGCTTTGCACAGCTGGTGGAGTCGGGGAGCGAGCAAGGAGCCCTGGCTCCCCTTGGCTCGGAGCAGCCCAAGTAGCTCTCTCTGCCCCGGGGTGGTGGGGAGAGCTGAGCACAGCATCGTCCAGGCCTTAGCTGGAGGGACTGCAGCTGTGGGCTGCCTGGAACTGCATAGAGTGTGGGGACAAGGACAGTTATGCAGACACAGCGTATGCTTGAGAGGAATCTGCCCTCAGCTGGGTGCATCTGTATCCTTCCCCTCTGCCAGGTGAAAATCTTTGAGGAGGACTTCCAACGGGAAAGGAGCGACAGGGAAAGGATGAATGAGGAGAAGGAGGAGCTGAAGCAGCAGCTGGAGAAGCTGCAGAAGCAGCTGGCAGTCTCCAACAACCAGGTGAGCAGCACTGTGCACCCCTGGCAGCATCTGGGAGCCCCCGTGTGCCTTGAAGGGTGAATTAGAGGTGCTCATTCACAGTGTCCCAGCTCCTGACAGCACTGGGGTTTCCTTCTTGGAGCGGGGGATGAGAAGGAAGCAGGAAGACCAGAGCAGTGGTTTTCCTTCCTCTTGTCCCTGCTGGAGCCACCTGGGGAGGGCCTGGAGAGTTTGGAGGGCCTGGGAAGGCCTGAGGTTTGTTTGGACTTGGTGTGTGGGTGATGCAAAGCCCCTGTCTGGCCAGGCAGAGAAGGACCTCCTTTTGCAAGGCAGCTGTCACCAGCACGTGGGACCTGGCTGTGCTGCTAGGGAGGGATTTGGGGCAATCTCCCTGCACTTTCCTCCTCCTCCTATGGGAAGGACAAGTGCTCCTGTGGGACTGACTGAGGGAGACCTAGAACCATAGGAGAGGAGCAGCCCATGGCTATCACTGTGACCAAGAAAACCCAGCCTGTCTCCCATGCCCCTCCTCTCCAGAGGGGCAGGTTGGGAGAGCTCTGGCTATAACCACAGCTCTTCACCGTTGGCTTGGGATTTTACCCCCTGGTGTGAGCAGTCCGGCAGGGCCTAGCCCCATCCCGTGCCCCATGGGCTCCATGCTAACCTCCCCTCTCGTTCCCAGCTGCGTGTCTCCAAGGACGACTGCCAGCGGGAGAAGGAGGAGAAGGAGAAGCTGAAGAAGCTGCTGAAACAGCACAAGCAGGTGGGGAGGACAGAAACCCGCCCAGACCCTGGCTGCAGCGAGGCCGGCGCGTGCTGGCGGTGGCCCCTGCACTGCTGTTGGGCTGCGTGGGTTTGGGGTGCATTTCAGGGAGATGTGGGTGCTGGTGCTGGTCTGGTTTCGGGGGGCTTTGAGGGAGGTGAGCGT